GCCAAAGAACTATTGAAATAGTCCAGCATGGTTCTTTAACCTTCTGGTAGTAGCACAATAGACAATTGTCGGAAACAACTTCTCAAAACTTTGATCACTGAAAACATTTACCAGATTTGTATGTCCCTATGTAAATGCTAGCAAATAAAACCTGATGAGTAGACTATAAAAAAGAAAAGATAATAAAATAGAAAGATGTTTAGAAATTACTGACAATGCAAATTGCCTGGACAACTGCATGACTGTATAGTCCAAGATGGAAGACTGGTAACAATAGAGTAAAGCAACATGAAACACTTTAGAACTCTCTTTGAACTTGAAGTTCTAAACCAGTTTCTTTGCAGAAATAAGAGCATCAGTGTATCAGTGTCAGATGAGTTGCATGTCTATGTGTTCCTTCAGCCATTTACTGGTGGTTCAAAAAGAGGTCAAAATGTTTGCAGAGGTTGTTATATTAGGAAGCAGAGTAGGTTTTTGTTTCTCATCTTTAATCATTACAAATTTGTCCCTAAAGTAATCTCTTGAAGTTAAAAGGCATAGGTACTAAAACCTAACTTTTGTTAGGTGCTAGGTCCTTTTGTTAGGTTCTCCAGCTGATTATTCTGCTAACACAGATAAAAATTATTTTAGAAACTTTGGAATACTTGTTGATAGAATCTGTAATAATGAAATTATTCTCATTCTTCAACACTGCAAAATAGGACAACCATCTTACTATTAAAATTTCAAAAGCAACTTTTAGTCATTCCCTCTGTTTTCAGCAGACTTCCCATTTTTGAAGCAGCTTGAAGAGGCTGGCTTGACTTCTTAATGGGTTGCAAAGTCCAGGATGTTGCCTGTATTACATATGTTTTTATTGGGGTGGAAATGAAAATTTAACTATACTGCAACAAAGGAGGCCTGTATTTCCAGCCTGGGGAAAGTCAGGTGTTAATTTTCCTACTGTCCTGGCTGGTGTTTAAAAAGAAAAAAAAGAATCTGAGAGAAATCTTTATAGTGTGCAGGTCCATTTCAGCACACCCTGACCTAATAGCTGAAGCCAGGGGTGGTGTGATGCTCACTACTGTCCTTGCACTCGTGTTTTCTGCTGAGAGGTATTGGAGCACACAGGGTAGGTGCTGGAGCTGATGACTGAAAGCAGTGGCCATGCTGATGCAGCCATGGGGGCTGCAGTTCCCTGTCAATGTGCAGTCAGGTGGTGCAAATCCTACAACACAATACACAGGGACAGCACTGGAGAGGGATGGGAAATGGTACCTGTTTTTCAGATATAATGGGGGGGATAGCGCTTGGTTAAAAATTACTTTTTCAGTCCAATAGTTGATCTTGTCATACAGTGGATGACATTTAGGAAAAAAAACCTGTGACATTTGGAGGAAGAAAGAATTTTGGATGTGAAATAAATGAAGATGTGATGCCTTGGGACAACTTTAACCACACAAAAGCTGAAAAAGTAGTAGCACAAAACTGAAAAAATGGTTGCATTTTGCAGTTGGAGTATATGACGTGAGGACTGAATGCTTCTGAAAAAAATCACTATTTGCACAGTGGAAGTGCGATTTTACTTTTGAGGCAGTCAGCAAAGGATCACTTCAAAAGCTGCCCTGTATAGAACTACAATTTAAGAAACAAATTTGAAACTAAAGTGGCAGCAGGGCTTCTCTCAGACAAGCAATATTGTTCCTTTGGTCTGTGCTGGAGTAATGGAAATGCCAACATGCAATACCCTACTGTAATCAGTTTCCTAAAAAAAAATAAGTCAGATATAAGGTTAAAAGTACACCTCAGTAGCAGAATAAAGGGTAATTAGAAGCAGTCAATGAGTGAATATGAGGTATCTGAAGTTTGTCTAGCAAGAAAGACAATTTAATTTCATTTACATTTAATTTACATTTCCTAAATGCAGGTAGGCAGCTTTTTTGTATATATTAGAGCAGGTAACTGTAACTCAGACAAGGTACAAGAGACTGTAATTCAGACAAGGTAAAAAGAAAACCTTTAAAAAATACTGCATATTTAGACATTCCGATTTAATGAAAGGATCAATTTACTTTCCCAGTTTTGATCTTAAAACATCCTGAAGCTGTAACAGTCAAATAATATTTCAGCAATATCTGTCTCAATAAAAAGCATTTGATAATGTACAACTGAGAAAAATGAGACAAGGTAATGATTTGATGACATTTTCCACATTATATTTCTAAAATTAGTTACTTTTAAGTTGCTTTTCTTGCCAAAATATTTCTCAGTCTATATCACTAGAATTTTTCTATATCAATAGAATTTTTCAGTCTATATCACTAGATTATTACTATTGCATTGGCTAAAAAAAAAAACCCAAACCAACCCAATAAGGGTTTTTTTTATTTATGGAAATGTCTTATTTGTTATATACACCACATTGCTATGTAGTAGTTTAAAAACTGACATTCTTTAGGTATGGAAATGAAACATAAAAGCAAAACCATATGTTTTTGACACTTTGTGTACTGCAGAATGACTCTAGAATAGCTTGTGCAATATTGATTCTGTTTGCCACTTCATGTTTGATTTAGAAGGGCTCATTTCCATGGACTGTTGGGCAAGCTCAGTGTGGGATCTGCAGGTCCTGTTATTCTGAGTCACCACACCTGATTATCTGTCCCCCAAATGCAGTAGGATTAACTTTCCATCAGTGACTGATGCTGTGTTCCCCAAAGCAGAGCCACGCCAGCTCTGCCATGCCAGCGGTGTGCCCAGCACCATGGGCAGCAGGAGCCCTGCTCCAACAGGCATTCGTGTCTTGGCTGTCCCTTGCCTTGGTGGGAGCCAGTGGCAGTGTGGCCATGGCAGCAGAGGGTTTGGCACAGCAGTGACACCTGCCCAGGGCTCAGATGGTGCTGCAGGCCTGAGGGCAGCTCTGCATTGCCTTTCCATAGTGTGCGATGGTAGCCCAGTGCACCAGTCTTTACTTTCCAGTCTCAGCAGCTTTAGGCTAAATCAGCAGAAACCACATTCATAACTTTGTCTTAAATGAACAATCATCCTAGGGAAGGTCAGGTGGGGGATAGGACTCAATGCATGCACATTTTCTCTAGGCATAATTATTTTTTTATTTCTCTAAAGGGCTAAGTAGTTGTTCTTTTAAAAGGATACCCCTTTTATTCTGGTATAATGTTCCATTATCTCTGATGGTCAGGACAGCTGTTTAATCATTGCTTTTACATTCCCAATTGAATATATAAGTAATAATATACACTGTCTTCTTCATCAAGCAAAAACATTAATGTCATCAATAGAACCAGTCAGTAAATATTAAAACTTTTGAGTGTTATAATTACAGAGGTACTCTGAGTTTATGGGTGGTTAAGTTCACTTTCACTTTTAAAGGCTGGGAGGACCTTGAGTGGTTCTTGATGAACACAAATATGGTAAATTAGTACAGATCAGGAAGAATAATAAAGATTGGCATAAATGTGCAACCATTTTGTAAGCGTGGAGTTATGGCTATGATTGGTCACTGTCTGCAGCAGATGTACAGTCTAACTTGCATGAGCATTTTTGTCTTGTTCATTTCCCTTTCTTAATATGAGCAAAATTACTGTTTCTAAACATAAAAAAAAATTTCCGAGGAAAGGCACCGAAATGTTATTTTGAAATCCTATTCAGATATATATGAAATCCTATTTAGATACTGCATAGTCTTTCAGAATATTACCCATTGTAACATTCCTTGCAAGAAAACAGGAACAAATGATCTGTGTAGTTAATGAAAGACAGTTCTTCTAAAACTATAAAAAAAGGACCAATTTAACAGCTAAACCTGGACACCCTTCTCTTCTGCAGTACTGCACAGGTCTGCCGTTTTACATTGTGATTTATTTTCTACATGTGGCTGAGTACAATGTTGCTATCCCTAAGAGTTCAACAAGCCACTGATATGTTAGGTAGATTACTTTTCCCTATTCTTTCAGTCCTGTCTGTGCTGCTCTTCGTCTGTACTGCTCTGCACTCTCTTAATGCCAAAGAACCACATGGTGATCATTGACAATTCATCTTGAAGTACTATTTTCCTGAAAAGGTTGCCAGTATCAGCCCATCAGATTTCTGTATACACAGAAATGTCTGTATATGAAGAGAAGAAAAACTATATTTCTGCTATTTTCTATATTTGCATATAGTGCTATACAGAGTGGCCCAGATTTAACATTAATTTAGTGCTAATGTGTAACAAAAACAAATAGCCATTGTATTTTGTTCAGATCGAACCTGAATACTGCTGCATGATACTGTCTACGTTGTATGGGTTTACTGCTGATCACCAGTCACCTGACAGTTCCATGTTTGATATTACTGTTAACCAGCTCAAATACCTTTGTAATCTTTTAGTTTCTGAGGCACACATACATTTTCCCTACAAATCACCTCTAGTCCAGTCCCATCCTTTCAGACTCTCCAGCCCAGCAGTTCAGCAAGATGCAGGATTGTTTGCACAGCTGCAACATCACTTTGTCTTTTGATTTGATAATCTTATCCATCTATTTACTTGGGGGAAAAAAATTAACATTTGTCAGTTAGAAGTTCTTGTAAACAGGCTAGGCCCCAAAAGAGACTTGTACTTTATAGATAGAAAACAGCACATTCTGTCTCCTGTTTAATCTTTCATGAGTTCAGTAATCATAGGCAAGTCACTAGTCTCTCTGCTTTCCTTTCTGCACTGTCAAAACAGTTGCGGTAAGAATATTCTTTGAGGGTTTAGATGTCTTTTCTAAGCTTTGTGGAACTTTTGGACATGCTGGAAAATTTGTACAAGTTGAAACTGAGGACCAGGATAGCAAAGAAGAGTAAAATTAATAGATACCAAGACGTAACTTCTATTCTGTATTAGGAAAAAGCTTCCTTTAAAAGTTCCAGCAGTGTGGTGACAAGGGCAGTTTAGATAGCAGGAGGGACCAGGTCCGTAGCTGATCTGTGGTAGCATGTCACAACAACACCATATCTTTGTCCCTTTGCTCTTGCAGTATCGGTCAGGGCGGGATCCTCATCGAGGCTCAGACAACGTTTCCAACAAGTCTTCGGACAGCGATGTCAGCGACGTCTCGGCCGTGTCCCGGACCAGCAGCGCTTCCCGTTTCAGCAGCACGAGCTACATGTCTGTGCAGTCAGAGCGCCCCAGGGGAAACAAGAAAATAAGGTGAGCATGATGAGCTATAGTGTCAGCCAGTGTTGCTGTTGAGGCAGGACAGGCGTAGAAATGACTCCAAGATCAAAAGGCAAGAAAGAACTTTATAACAAGTAGCGTTCCTCTTTTATAACCAGGATCGCTAAGGTGAAATATGATTGGTCTCATAGTGAAAACCTTTCACACCATTGTGCACTATTCAGGAAATAGTACACAGTGGCAGAACATATCAATAAACAATATGAACAGAAGGAGAGATAATAAATGGTTTACATTCCTTTCGAACTTTTTCCCAGGCTTAGCCTGGTAGAATCTCTCTCCTTTTCTCTCTGACTGACATGAGAATATCCATAAGCCATAGCTGTGTAATTTTAGTAATGGAACACTTATCGATATTTGAATTTGACATTAGCATTTTGCCTAGAATGACATTTGCAGGGATTCTGCAAAATACTGGCTTAAATGTCTTTTTTACCTAATGCTTCTTGAAGTCTTCATGGAATTTGTTTTTAGCCAAGTTTTGTTGTCTTGGATTATCTAACATACACTGAAATAACAAACATATGCTGTCAGCAAGCATTAGACATGCTTTCTGAAAACCATTTTGTAAAATATGCATAATATGGCTGAAAAGACAATTTAACTTTTTAAATTTGTGCCAGTAGAGGCATCTTATTTTTCTTTTAAATAGAACACTGAACTTTTATAGATGTATTATTTAATACTTATAGAGACCAATCCAACTTATTTAATACTTACACTAGTCCAATTTAACTGTAGGTGTACAATCATTGAGCTCCTCTTCAATAAAATGTATATTGTGTATCTGTGACCAAAACACATAATTTTCTTTGCCTGCACCCTATGTGCACTCAGAGGAGTTTTGGGTTTCATTTGGTGCACAAATGAAAGATAATTTTTCTGGAGAGTGTAACCCACCTCCATCACCAGCAGAAATTCTCAGAAAATTGTCCTCTTAAAAGAAATTATTTGCAAATTTAAGCATCTGCTCGTATGAACATTGCAAAGAGCGCATTGTTTCTGTCACACATTTCTTTCTAACTGTGAGGTATTGCCATGCAAGTTTTATTTGAATAGAGACTGATTAAGAAAATGCTCCAAAGCTCTCTAGTGTAGGCTGAACTCCTAGCAAGCATGACTTACATTATGGCTGCTTCTATCCTTTAGTTCTCATTTCATTTCTTATGTATTTCCTTTCTTCATGCATGTTCTTCTCCTAACTTTAATTTATTCTTTTCTTTTTTCTTTTTGCATGCTTTTTTCAATTTTTGTTGACTTCAGAAGGACAAGGGATATAGAGGGGAAAAAAGAGGGAGGGCTGGAAGGGGATGAACAAGATGAAGTATTTCCTGAAGAGGAAGAAAAAGAGGAGGAGGAGGAAAAAGCCAAAGAGCAAGAAATTAATGAAAAAGGGGAAGGGCAAGAGGTGACAGAGAACTGTGATAAGGAGGAGATCAAAGAATCAGGGCATGATAAAAAAGCTCGAGAAGACCAAGCTGAGGAAGGGAAAGAGGATGACAGGTAAAATATATTTCTGTTTATATAGAACTATTATTTTTCCTGTACCAGCACCCTACTTGTCTTTCCTTTTTATTCCCTTTGCTTGCATATTGCCTCTGCTCTCTGCAGCTCTTTTTTTTTTTTGTTTGTTTTTGCTTTCAGTCATCATGCTTTCATATTTAATCAAATTTCATTCTCAGCTTCAATGAACTTGTTCTGCATACCAAATGAAGCAGCACACCAACTTGACTCATTAATATGCATACAACTGCAGCATATTATTTTTTAAATTAGTTTAGACTAAAGTTTGGGGTTGACTGCAATAAACAGTAGAAATTGTAAGATTCCTTATTATATTTTCTACTTGAATTATTATTTAATGGAAATATGTTTTGTTGAGTGAAACTCAGCAATGTCAAAATTATCCAAAATTATATTTATGGTCATACTAAAGAAGGAAATTTGGAATTTTTTTGCAGTCCTCTTTGTGGTGCATATGACTGACAAACAATGTGGATAAAGCAGAGTTTTCCTTTTTCATTTTTTGTTCCATGTGAATAACTGTCAAGGATTGCTGAATTGTGGAAGGGTCATTCCCTTCAGCTGCTGTGTTGTATCCAGAAACACTGCAGCACAATCTGCTCTGGTTTTATCAGATAATATTCTAGAATTATACATTTTGCCACAAATCGTTAAAACAGTGTAAATTTCTGAAATTTTGTATTGCAAAATCCATGTAGGTCGCATTGAGAGAAATACAACATTCCTCCTTTCTTCATTAGAAAAAATGAGTTTCAGATTTGATGAATGTTCTTGAACCCATTCTCAGTCCCACAGCAATGGCAGAAAATCTCAGAAAAAATGCATTTTGTTTTAGCCTGACAATTCTGCATTACCTCTAAATAACTTACGCCTGTAAAATTGTGCTCATATACATTATGCTAAGCACAGAGCAATCCATGGAAATCCATTTTCTTTCCTTGCTACACATTTATACATGTGCCTGCTTATATATGCTCACGTACATAATATGCTCAAACCAAAGGGGATACAAAGAGAGAATCAAGATGCCTAGTGCAGTCTTGGGTGATATTAACTTACACAGCCATACTACTGCCTTTATATATTGTGCCATCTTTCCTTCACTTACATTCATGCATTTTAGATTTTAGCAAAAAGAGTTTAGAACCAGCTGTCTTTAAGAGCGCCTTGGCATATGTGTTCCAGGGACTGTTGTATGGTAGTGTGTGAAAGGATTATTTAAAGACCTTTTTCTCTTCCATTTCCCACTAATTTCCCAGTCTAATGGATCTGAAAGTCCTGCCTTTCTAAAGCATGACTCGGTTCCAGGTTTCTAGATTTCACTATAGCTGGTCTTTGGCCAATATGTTGTCCCCCATTGAAAGAAAAGTCCTTTTTGAGAAACAGCTCCTTGTTTCCTGAGCCAGCTTGTTCTTCTGGTTCCTGGCTGCTCTCTGCCTTTAGGAAGAAGTGACACAAGTCAGGAATCTCTATAAGGAAACAAGATGTTATTAAGTGACTATTGTGTAGTGGCTTTTGTTTGTATTAGATTTTGGCTCCTTCATGGAAATTTGTCTCTAATATTATTTCCCCACTTTGCACATTTTGACCATTTTTAGTATGCAGGTTGTGAATAAACGGAAAATTTATATTCACCTTCCTTTACTATGGTAAAGGAGGATGGCTCATTCTTAGCATTGTCTGAGCATTTTTCTAGGGTAAGAATCAAACAGAAAAGCCAGATTTGCTATAGATATGTATACACATTTATATAAACACATAGCTGTGTCTCATTAACATATTTAAATATTATGACTTGTGTATTCAATGGCCAAGGCTGAAGGCAGGATCAAATCACCATTTTTGAAAATTCGGTGCCTTCTGCTCATTTCTCTGGGAATTTTTAAAATAACACACATTTGAAAATTTATAAGATAAGGTAATGACTTCAACTTCCGAAAAAGAATGTTTTCAGACACACGACAAATATTAAAAGTAACCAAACATATCGATTAAACATATCAATAGGTAATTTGAGAGACCCAGCAGAACAAAGGGGGCCAATTCTTCATTGATAGAATAGTAGTAAATTATCATGTAGTTCTTGAGATCTTGGGCATCAAGGAAAGTTATATTGCAGATGGGAATTTTCAAGATACTTTTTACTTTAGAGGTGCATCTGTAATTGGACAGCAGCTACCTTTTCTCTGGGCACTGTGGAATGCAGGGGCTGCTCACAATCACAATCATCAAAAATTACCTTGTTAAGGATACCTCATACCTCTTGATGTTACTGTGTTTATATGCTTCAGGAGTAATGGTCATAGTCCCACTAGGGTCTTCAATCTGCTGAGATCATGGGTGGGTTGAAATGACTGTAAACACAGACATTCATCACTAATTCATCCCATGCTTATTTCAAAGAGTGCCTTGGCACAATAAAGGGTGTTAGCTTTTGGAGCACTGGAGTACATTAAATCAATTTATCTTTCTTTGGCAGAAATAGTTGCAGCATCAGATTTTGCCTTAATTAAACCTTGTAAAACTAAACTTTGGCATATGCTTGACCTGTAGGGAAATCATAATTGTGTTCTTTTTCTGCAGTACATGTTAGCAAATAAAGGGTTTCTTCAGCTTTGATGTTGAATATTTATTATGGAGAGTTCACTGGCTTTTTTTTCTTTGTCTCCTTGATAATCTCAGGGACAAAAATAAAGGCTTCTTAGATATAATCTTTGATCATTAATACCTTTTATTGAACTTAATCTGTTTAAGACTGCTCTAAATTTTATCCTTTCTTAATATTTTCCTAAATATCAATTCCAAGCATTAATTCTGATAGTTGCAATAGTTGTGGTTTACCATGTGAATGCACAGCAAATGTAGTGACAGAGCAGGATTTCACTGTTGAAATACAGTAGAAAAATAAAACTTCTGTTCCAAGCACACAGAATCTAAATAATGAAGTAACATATGAGTCCAGAGAGGGAAGCACAGGAGAACAAAGAGATGTTCCACAGGAGATAAGTACAGCATAGTGTTGGGGACATCTTGACAACAGAGAATGAATGCTAAGAGGAGATTTGAGGAGAGAAAATAAGGTATCTTTGTGAATGTTTCTGGAGAGCTGTTTTCAAGCATTCAAGACAATGAGAACAAAACATGAGGTGCTTGCTAAAAATATATCAAGTGGATGAGGGGCAGGCTTGATGATCAGGAGTTGATCTTTCGGTCTTGAATGAGAGACGATAAATAAGGAACAAGTGCTAAGATACTAGGAAATGAGGATGAATTATGTACAGCTGTGTAAAAGAGAGTGTAACTTTTTACTGATGTGTGGAGGAAGATGTGACAACAAATAGAAATGTTATGAAACTTAACTTTTCTCTAGTATCCTGGAAGGGGTTATTGGATAAATTTCCAGGGCTGGAGAAAAACACGTCAGTATCTGTAATTTGAAATGGTGAGAG